GGTACTGGTACGGTTCAGCTGGTCCACTAAAGAGGGGACTGGTACGGTTCAGCTGGTCCACTAAAGAGGGGTTGAGGGAGGATTCTGACGCCATCGGCCTTACACACAGCAGTCCTACTCCTACTAATGAATATGTACTGCTACCATCCACTGGACCCACCAGAGCCGTTGCCTCCTCATCCTCAGTCACAACCTGCTGTCCAAGCCAGAGGAGAATAATCAATACAGCTGCACACCACTTAACTGATTAAAATATGAAGATGTGCATTCTTCAGACAGAGATCTGACATGAACCGACCATGATGGAACCTACCTCCTCTCCTGCCGGCTCCTCCTCCTCCTCCTCCTCCACCACCAATTCATTTTGCTTCGATTGTAAAGTGAACACAGTGGTTTAAACTACCACGTCCAACAGCCCTACAATCAATCAAAGTCCACGAAGAAAACACTGGACTACAACTACAGCAGCTAGCATTACATACAGAAGAGAGGCAGGCTGGTGTCACAGCTGACAGAAGCTATGATTGACTTCACTGTGAAATACTGATACAGGCGACATGATCATGTCTCCGGCTCAGTATTCTCTAGTCTCCAAGGCTGAATCACTACTGACCGAAGGCTACGCCTGCATTGGCAGCAACACATCAGAGCCTCGGCATACAGATCCCAACGTAACACAACATTCAAACAAAATCCACTGAATCCTAATCCAGCAATACCAGACATCTACTCCAAATGACCCAAACTAGCTCTACGGTACATACCCGTGCTTCTTCTGTGGCAATCTGACACATGACAGAGAATTACAGCTGTTGTACAGACAAACACCTCGATGGTTTCTACTGTTCATGGCTGATTAAGAAATGTTCAGATATCAAGGCCATTTATGTTGTTTTTGAAAAGACTCGAGCTGCTAAGGTGGGACTGGATACCACTGTGTGTCCAGTACGATGCCCTAGATCAGGTGATGTGTCCTCACATCTACACCCTTAGTCTTCAACTCACCTGTTTGGCACCCATCCACTCAAACATCTTTTCCAGCTGGATTCTTAGCTGCTGTACGTTGTTCATTAGGACGCAGGGCTGCAGGAGGACACAGAGAAAGAGTCCACAGAGCTTCAGCTGCTAAAATCCTGTGCAGTGCTGTTAAATGTGTGAAACAAACAAAGCTATATGTCGTGTAGATGAGCAGCAAGGTGGGGTAACAACTCACAATCTTCTCCTTGTCAACATAAGAAGGGAAACTCTTGGTCAGAATGGCACTGTACTGCAGAAGAACTTTGGTTATTGTCTGTAAAGTGAAAAAGAACCAAGACATAGAACAATAAAAAAAGAGTTTTAAAATCCATTTGCTCATTCTAAAGAAGCTGTTCAGCAACTATTCAGGGGATTCTACTACACTTTAGGGGAACGTGTCCAAAGAATCCTTAAACCCAATCTAATGGCCCCTTAATGTATTCTCTAGCATGCAGGACAACAAAGTTAACATAAAACAGAGCGACTGTCCTTCCCCCGGGAGGGAAACATCATATCCAGTTCTGCAAGTCTGTTTCATCAGAGACTCCCTTTACAAGAAGTATGAATGTTCCTCCAGATAGTGCTGTAGCTTCTTTTTCTAAAGCTATGACGCTGCTAAGAAAAGAAAATCATAGACTGTGCCTTTATTATTTATTATAGAAACTTCAGGTCCACCACGTATTTCATACAGCTCCATGAGGTGAGGTACAGACCAGACCTCTGTCCTGTCCAGTCATTCAACATGCTGGTTTAGCTTCCACCAGCCAGTGCAGAGGGCTACCTTGGAGAAGCGGCGAGTGTACTGAGCCGTGACGTCAGGATCGGGACATTCCAGCTTCTTGATGATCTCAAAGCTCTGGTTGAGCTGGGTGAAGATGTCCACCACAGAGCAGGAGAACAGAGCGTGCTCAGACGTCTGCTGGAACTGAGGCGAGTACAGAAACAGCAGTAATGATCAATACTCAGAATTAAACTACAACAGCAGCTATACTAACAACTTTCTGAAGTCCACACGACGATACTGAGTGTGTTTCTCCAAACAGAAGAGCAGTAATTTCAGTCAATTGCCTTTTTTATTACAAGATAAACATCATGGGCTTCTTTTCATTGTCTTACTCCATCTTTTTTGTCTCTCTCCAGGGCTCCATGCATGAACTCCATCGACACGTCTTCATTTTCGTCCAACCACTGGAGCACAAACTGTACAAACCATCTAAACAGAGAAAATAATGATTAGCAGTTTTTTTCCAAATACCTTTGATTGGAGTTTTACAGATCCCGAGGCAGTGACTGGCTTTGTCCTCAATTCATCGGACAATCAAAGCTTTTGAAAGAGAAATGTTTTGTCCTTTCCTGTGCCATACGAGTGATTAAGTCACGTGCACTCACGCTGGGTATTCGGGAACCGTCGACTCAAACGCTGGCAGGTCCTTGACGTATTCATTGTAGAGCCACTTGACCTTGAAGTGCAGGTTCATGTAGTCTGTGCTCTTACACAGTCGGTGCTTCTCGTGCTCTGCAGGCGCAGAAAAAGGAAATATAGCTGAGTTTTGTGAAGCGTCTCTGAACTGATCCCTCTGGCAGTACACAGCTATAGAAGATCACCAAACAGCGAGTACCATCCTGTATGACATGTTTGTGGTTACGTAGGTTTCTGCAGGAGACTTCAAATCGAAATTAAATCAAGGTGTCATCCAGCTGCATTATGGGAAGTGTAGGATTAAGAACTTTGGCGGCATATGATGCACAAAAAGACAGGAAATCTACCTCTGCTGCTTTGATTTGAACCATTCCTCTAAAAAAGTTTCTCTTCAGTGACCAAACTTCACGGGACAGGTTCAACGGATGAATCCCTGAAACATGCCTGTATGTACTCTTAGGAACTCCTGGTCCCTTTAGTGCTTCTCTTGTTCATACTAGAGACAGAGAGATTCCTTCTTAAAGCAAATATCAGTGTCAGACAAATAAAGTGGCTTTCTTCCCAAGTTGGTGTTTGTACTAAACGGTCCTGTCTCGTAGCTGCACCTGTTGAGCAAAGACACCTATTTACAGGAAAACAAGGAAGAAACAGGCAGGCCAGTTTGGACAGGAGGAAGCATTAAAGCAACCAAAAGTGAGCTTGTCTGGTCCATATGGACATGCAGGTAGTGTTTCTAGCAATGTGAATTCATCCTTTAATCCTAAAATGAAGTTGTCTTTAAATTTACAGCGTCTCTAGTTTTTCCTAATTCAAACCCTAAGCATAAGTCATGGCGTCACTCTTGTAAAACATAAAAAATAATACAAGAACAGGACTAATGTTTTCTTTGGGCAACATGTCCTCTGACAGTCTAATACTCAACAAAGACAGAAGAACACTCTAATCCCGTTCTTGTAGCTTCTCACATGAACGCGGCTCGAAGGTGATGCTGCTCCTGGAATTTCTAAAAGTCACCACTTGATCCATTTGGAGCGTTTACTTTTGCGTACTCATGTATGAAGCCGTGGCTTTACGGCTTTACATGCTGTAACTGCAGGTAGACTTAACGAGCTCATGAAGCAGACGCCTACATCGTTAAAAACTACCACGTCTAAATTTCCAGCATCTTCAGCAGCTCCTCTGAAACAAAATCTTCTTGTATCTCTGAACACATCTTTCTTATTCACTTGTAATATTAATGAGTAAAAGTGAAGGGACGCCACTGCTGTGCTGTTCTGTTTCCTGTGAAGCTCGTATTGAGTCTCAGCAGGAGGACGGTTTGAATACAGGCCGACTGCCTCTGGGACCGGTGGTGCTGTAGAGTACAGTCCAGCAGAGAAAAGTGCAGAGAAGCTCCTGGGAGACGTAAGGAGCTTTCAAATCCTGCACGACTCTTATTTCGCTTTGAACTTCTTCAGTTCCATTGTCTCAGCTCTGTCCCAGACTTTCTCTCCTCTTCTGGTCATTCCCACTTTCATCTGAGCTTCTCATCTTACCCTCTAACTCTCCAGCTGTTTCCTTTACTTCTCATGTACGTCCACAGTAATTCTATCGACTGCAGGATGTGGCTACGTATGACTCGTGAGACACCAAGACCTACCGTCCATAGCATACTTCATGTCTTGAGCAAACAGTGTCCACATGACCTCCGCTGACACTTTTCCCACATTAAGTTCTTGAGGGAACCTGAGAGAGGGGAGACAATTCGACCAAGCTGAAAGACAAACCCTGCTTAAATCACCGTTTAGCACTCACATCAAGTGTTCTGCACATGTGGAAAGAACCATTAAATGAACTTCTCCTACTCTCAATGTGGCACACATACGACAGAAAAAATGCTTGAGATGTTTTTGTAGATTTCTTTCTGCTATTTGAGAAGGTTGTGAGTAGATCACTAACTGGTTGAGCACAGGTCCGTAGGAGTTCCCGTCTTCTTCAATGATGGAGACGATAAGCATGATGAGTTTGGGCCAGAAGTCCAAGTTCTTGATGCTCGGACCCTGCTCCTCCAACGGGAGCTCCTCCTTGTTCTGGATGAGAGAAATAAAACAGTCCCAGTTGAATCACTGTCATCCTCTATGTCTCCTTTAGCTCATTCGATTCATTTAGGTAAAGACAAGCAATGATATCGACTGTTTATCCAGGATTTTGTGTTTTCCCCATTTCGTACATCCCATAAAGCCTAGATGTTTGTGACTCACCGTCTCCAAAGGTTGGTACTGTCTGCTGTACAGCTCGTAGCAGTTGTTGAAGATGTAGTCGTATGTGGAGTTGAGACAGGCCTTGACACAGTCCTTCACAACCTGGCTGGCTCTGGGTGGAGACGGTATTTCCTGGACCTTGACACCAGAGGAAGAGAGCGACACATCGGTGACACTCCATCCACTCATTCTGGGTTACCAGCAATCAACACGTACAATCACTGAACACCGTTATCTAAAGAAAACTCAATAAAAATCCATAAATAGGAACTACAGTAGAACGACAGATACAGTCCACGAAACACCGGTAGATACCTTCATCCTGAAGAAGGTGATGCTGGTTAGAAGGTCCACAGTGGATTTCAGATCTTGCAGGCGATCCTTGTTGCTGGCAGGGAAGTGGTTCTGCAGAATTTGCAGTTAATGATCATGATCAGTGTGTACACGTTAACACAGCTTGTTTTCATACTTGCAGACAAAACTTCACTGATCACAGAAAACTGAAAAGGTATATATACATATATATATATATAGTTTTTAAAAAAGACAATGTGGGCATAACAAACACAATTCAATAATTACCACTGTACAATCAGCACTTTGCGAACATTTCAGTCATTAGAGGCCGTGTACTGATAGAAATCTCACCCTATAGGTTGACAGGTCAATGCGGAGGGAGTTGTGTAACTGGTCTAAAAGCTTGACAAAGCGTTCTTTCTGTAAAGTGAGGACAAGAAAACAGAAATGAAGTGGACTGTTCTTATGTCTGTATGAAGCAATAGGAGAGTGCAACGAGAAGCTGCTGCATGTGAGCAGAGAAGAGCAGTCAGACAAAGTGAGAAATACAAAACATTTAAACTGTCTATTTTTTAAAAATACAAACTCCAAAGTTTGAAGCGGCGAAGCGGTCGGAGGCGGACACGTTGTTGGAAGCGGTTGTGCGGGCGTAGAAGGCGTTGATGTTGGCCAGGAGGCTGCTCATCACTGCAGGAACTCCAGGACACATGTACTTGGATGACAGACAGGCGAAGTGCCTGGACAGAGACGCAGAAACAAAGCTCGGTTAAGAAGCAGCGGTCCTCCTCTTCCTCAAGTCTGTACCTGCTCACAGTCACAAAGACACGTCATTGTCAGCGACAAGAGGTTTTGGCAAAGCAGTGTCAGTGTGAACCGCTGAGCCTTGGTTTGGACAGCCTGTGTCCTCTCAAGGATCTGGGTTTCTCCTAATGATCCCGATTAGGACTGGTCATTTCACCTCCATCAGCTACCTAGCACGGTGAGGCTGAAGGATGGCCCATTGGAGTGTGCTTGGCCCCCGCTAGCAGACATTTGTATGGATCATGACATTTCAGGGGGACAAATCCATCCTCAGCCCATTTAGAAACTGACTTTAATTCATCTGAAGGCCAACAGGGAATGGCAACAGCCTTAAGAGGCATTTTGTTGTGACAGCAAAAGGCAGAAAGGCAGGGGAAGTAACAACCACAGCGACAGGTAGGGACAGAGTTAGAGGGATGGGGCTGACACTCACGTCATGGCCTGGTAGATGGACTCAATCCCGTAGCGCATGGCAAACTCGTCCACTATTTCCTGTGGCACATCATCAAAGTAGACTTTCCACGAATCGTCTCCACGGGCCTCTGGGATTTTCACCACACCTTGACCGAGAACATCGGTTGTATAGTGGAACTGGTTCTGCAATGGACAGCAGTAATGAATTAGTGCGAGTCGAATGTACTGTAGCGGTCAGTGGAAGGGGAGGTGAAGGTACCAGTGGCTTCTACAGATGTGAAGCGATGTATGGTGGGTCGTATTTTAACAGGATGTGTGTGGCGAAGATGTGGAGGGGTTAAAACCTTTTGGCTTTTCTCATTATTGGATTGTCTGTTCTTTAAACCTGATTCAAAATTTGATTTGTTAAATCCTTCAGGGAAAAGGTGGGATTACGTAATTGCTAGGAAAGTATCTGTGTGGTTTTAATCCTGTCTGTCAGTCACAGCTGCAGACAATCTGCACCACATCACACTATCCACAGCAGCTGACAGTACTTATTCTAACACTGTCGTAAACCTTTTGCATGCCAAATCCTCTAACTATGTTTAGGTTACTGACATGTCATATACCTCATGCAAACAGGTGTACTGTATGTGATACGGAGCCACTTTCTCCTCTCCTTTGATCTCCACGTTGATCTGAAGGCGAATGGCACCTGACACAGCGGACTTGTCCGTCCTCTTCTCTGTAATTAAACACAAAAACAGTCATGCAGATTGCACAAACATGCACCTCCTTGATTCATAACTCCAGTCCGGATCTGTGTGAAACCCCGGTCTGTTAAAACACAACTAATTACAGACTATTAGCATGGCAGCTCTATTGCAGGGGGTTCCGTTTCCACGCTTTGATGGCAGAGCAGAGCCGGCAGCGCTAATAGAAGTCCTCCAGCTGATAGTGAGCGAGACAAAGGCAGTGGGCTGTATGGATCTGCGCCTGATCGCTGAAGACATTTGAGCTGGAGCTTCTCTGGAGGTGGAGTGCTGGCGGCTCACCCCTGCTATTTGCCCTGACAGGGACATCATTAGGGGTAATTTGTACATGTCGGTACAGCGGTCGATTTCCGAGTGGAGCGCTGCGACTTGATAATCACACATCAGGAGGCGAAAGGGGAAGAAGAAGGAAGGCTTGGGAGCAGGAGAAGATGGAGAGTTGTTTTAAATGGACCTGTGTATTACAATACGTATTAATTTACTCTCAAAATCTGATTACTAATGACTCCGAAGCAAATGAAAATGATTTGATGTGGTTTTCGGAGGCACATTAAACCCAGCGCTTCATATCTCCCAGCGCAGCACAAACAGCAGCAGATCTATTGGCACATTCATGTTCACTGACATGCTGCTCCAACAGACTTATTACGGCCCTGGTGAAGTCAATATTAGCACTTTAGTCAAGCAGCAGCAAGAGACGTGCCAAAGCAGTGAAGGCCTCGCTCTGACATGTAGCTC